AGAATCAAAAGAGTGACATTCGCTCAAATGAATGAATGACTCGTCTCTCACCTCTACACGTTCCGCAACTTGGCGTTTTGTGTACACAAAATTACGTCACGAAGGCCGTGAATTAGACCCAGACCCCGAGACAATTTTCACTACAAAATAGTACTTTTTAGAGCGCAAAAAATCAGGTTTGAAAACTTTTCCGCCGGATTGAAGGTTAGAATCGTTTTTTATATTCATCAAGCTAAGAAAAACCGAGAAAAAAATTCATGTCAAAGGCATATTAAGCTATTTGCCGACAAAAATCGTTGTTGTTGTTGAATATTTGAAAATTTGAAGATGTGAACGGTACAAAAATTAGTTCAAAAGCTTTTGCGATAGTCAATGTTGTGGAAGTTTGAAACATTTGCCGTATTATCCATTCGGACGAACTTAGGAAAACACTGGAGTTTGTCCGTCTACTTGTGCGTCTCGAGTATAAAGACGGGTGCAAGATCGACGCATTATACATCGAGACGAACTATTGTCCGGCGTAATTTGTCTTGAACGATGCACTACGTGTAAAGACGGGCAAGAGACGAAGAATGTTAAAATTTATGAGGCTGTGTTACTCAAAAGCCAACATGACGGATGCAAGTTAAAAGGTAAGCGCGTAAAAGCGAAATCGACCCTGGACAGAAACAGAGCTCGAGTACTTTGCCTTCTTCCTGCAGACGAGAAAACCAGTTTGGTTACAAACTGGACACACTTGCGTTGAAGAACACCTCGTTTATTTTATATTGGCGACTTAAAAAACACGCTTCTTCTGCTTTTCTTTCACGGAAAACAGTTGCAACTTCTAACAAAGGCGCCATCTTAAATTTTACTGTCAAAACTACTTTTGGGCCTATTCTTTTTTGGTTCGCCATGGTGCGTATTTTGTCGTATTTTTCGTCTCTCCAAGCCCTTATTGTTATTTGTCCTATCTTTACACTGGACGCATAGCGTGAAAGACGTATTATCTGTCTATTCGAATAAACTTCAAGTATAAAAACGACCATTTATAAACGTACAGAAAACGACATCGGGAGTCGGGGTTAATGTTTTTGAAGGATGTTTGCAAATATGGATCAAGGGGTACGTGTGTGTATACTTTAAGGTTGTCCGCTTTGTTTTTGGTCAAGTTTGTGCAAGTTCCGTATGCTCTATCTATTCATCTGACGGAAGGATTGCTGTCTGTAAATTGCGAATCTTATATCTTATTTGAATTTTATTAAAAATGTGATTTATTTGAAGAGGTGAATAAAATTCATCCTGAAGCTGCCCAGCTTGATGCTTTCTGTTAATTTTTTACATCTTTTTTTGTCTTTCGGTCCGCTGACTTTTCAGTCAATTCTAGTGCTGCACTAGCCAAAGTAAGCTGAATGTATATACTACATGTGATAGTGCGCCTAGCGATCACAAGCTTCTCAACTGTCTGAAGTCCAGCGTTGCCATAAGCACCAGGTTTCACGGGCATCTTTTGGTCTCGTGACGCCTCTTTTGCCGATAGAGCACGTGCGAAATATTTGATTCATCACCATAAAGAGTACTTATTCTATGCATTTTATTTAGAATATGACTGTTCAGCGCATTGAGAGCATCGGGCCCTAACGAGGAAATTGGCGATTCCCACGAACCTTAAGACTGAGCTGCGAAAGGTAAGTGCAATCGAGATATTAATTTCATCTCAGTGACAACAAGCTTATGGCGGGAAATGGTACAGGGTGAGATTTGCATGATTTGGCTCCCATTTCAACCACAATCGAACCTCAATTAAGCGCCCATGGGGAATGGTTGTGTGACCACTAGAAGCATAAATAAAGCTTGACCACTCAATACGTGTTCAATAGGATAGAGGCCGAACTTACTCAAAATCCGCTGACTATTCGTTAATAAAACAGAATCAACAAAACCATGGTGCACGGAACTGTCATAAGGCAAATTGCTCTACGAGGTATACTTTTATGTGGTTGGACCTACATGTCATTAGCTAGCAAATGGCCAGCGTAATGTCCGTACCGTTTGTTCTAAAAATACTGGTCTTAAGAAGAAAGATAATCTGCAATGCGTCGAGGACATTAGAACTTCGCTTTGAGCGACCGTTCGTGAAGACAGTCGACGGTGTAAACAGGCCATTGGGACTCAATCAATGATGATCACATGCCCTTGATCGAATAGAGACAAATATTCCAGTTTTTAAAGGAGAAAAATTTCGGTACTTTGAAAACTGATCGCTTACGACAGGGTGATCGCTCGCTGAATACGGTGCCGCTTTTTTGAGGTTCAATTCTCATCAACGTGAGTGTTAAAGCCGGGCTCACATTAGGTAACTTCAGCCCGTGGAGGGGATCGTTATAGAAGTCGAGGGAGAATTCTTGATTAAATTCTTCTGAACTTTCAAAAATGATAAAAAAAAAACAAGAGTTATCGTGAGGGCGAATTGGAGACTTGAAAGCAAATCTGAGCTTCTTCCAGAGGCAAAATGAGTCATACGCTATTGTTAATAGGCTTGTTTTAAAGAAAAATATCCAAGAAATTTTTCTTCCCATGCCAGGTTTTTGTGGGCAGCGAATTTGGTAGCTGATTACAGTGTAAGTACCTGCCCACGTTCTGTCACCACAATCAACGTCGCATGTTACCCACCATGTACCGTGCCGACCACGGGTCTTAAAATCAAAAAGCCAATCTTCAGGATGGCAATCAGGGGGAACATATTTGAGCATAAAGGTGGCAACTTCCTCTCTAAAGAAGATGCACCTCTGACTTTTAAAAAGAAAATGTACAAAATATACTGAGACAGGTTTTTTACGTAAAGTTTATGCCTATTTTGACTACTCTTCTTTAATCTACTTTAGGTTACCGTGCACCTTCAGGGGTGTCTCGCGTGCAAGCGATGTAGCGCGTCCGGTTTAAACTGTGGATATCTAAACCCCTATATCAAATAAAAGCTTATAGGACTGGCTATCAGACTATATAAAAAATTTTGAAAAAAAATTCATTGTCGAATTTTTCACGACTCCTAAACGGCGAGCGCCCGGATCACCTTTTAAGAGCTACAAGTCAAAGGGAATTTGTTCGATTGCCCTCAAATTTTGACAGTAACTAATCTTACATATAAACAACAAAAACATGTCTCCGAATTTTTTAATTCTAAATACTTTTTTTCAAGAGCAATTTTTTGTATTCACGATATTCTTACTATAAATTTAACTTCATATTTTGATCTACGTTTTCTTCGCCGTTGTCGTCCTGACCGGTTAAGTTCCCTATTGGTCTCATTGCGACGACGTGACTCCAGAGTTAAGAAAGAAGAATCAAAAGCTTGAATACGTCAAACGTTTCATGAATACCGGAACTGGATGTTTCTAAAGGTTAGTTACTGGCAGGGGTTATGAGAACTGATTAAAAGTTTAGCAATAACCTCTGTATCGGAAGATTCTTTTGACTGAGGCTCACAGGGTCACGGATTGAACGAATAGCCCGTTTTAAAGAAGGCCATTGCAAGTTTTGTAACATATAGACTAAAGCTTTTCCCGGAAACCTTCTTTCATATACAGGATTTTAGCTTTCATCATGCGTACATAGTCACATTGTGAGTTAAGGGTCACTGATTTCGTCACTGCCCATAAACGTGCTTGCTTTGTTTGTAACCGTATGTGACAATAATCAAAATCTTCTGTATCTGTTTTGGTTCGGCTGAAATATAGGCAAGTGTTTCCTTGCAGAATTCAGGATGTTTACTGCAGCTGACAACTAACCCTCGCGGGTATAACTTAAACATAGTGACGCTTTACTGAGATTCTCAAAAAATTACTTGAATTTTTGTTTCGTGCGACTGTTCCTGGGACTTCCTCCGAAGTTGCTTTTTGTTTAATTACAGCTGAGATCTTCTCTGCATTCTTTCTTCGGGTCACAAAAGTCATCACGAACCATATCAGTCGACGTTCCCTTCTTTTAGGTCTGGTCGTAAACCGAAGCGACTTCCTGCAATTTCTTGAAATGTGAGTTCGCTGGCGGGAAAATTTCTTTCTACCTATAAGCTCTTGACGGTAAAGACTGACAGAAATTTCAACGCTTCCCAAGTCTCTGAATAGGTTTTAAAATTCTGATAATCCTACCAGCATAGAAGTTCTTAAAAGTTTTTTCGCAAGTATGAATTTTGTTTCTTTCTCCAGTTTTAATTACGTTCGAGTCGTTCTTATGTCCTTTGTGCCAGATAATCGACGATGAGTCCTGTATCTCTTCAATTAACAGCTCCGGCAGTAATGAGGGGCCGGACAAACACTCACTTGAAACAAAATCACCAAACAAACACGCCTTATGAACAACAGAGCATTTCTATTTTCGGATCCATTTGAGAAAAGTTCATCGCGAAAACTTGAATTTGAATATTTTTTATTTTTTCACTCTCTTTTAATCTAGTTACAGCTGTATCATTCCTTGTATTTTTCAGGAACTTTATTTAGAAGTTACTTGACAGTTAAAACAGTCCGTGAAGGCTTGAAAGAGACAGCTTACAGAGGGGGGCTTTGGAAATTTCGGTTTGGCGGTTTTGACTGTTTTTTGGATCGGTTTTTCGGTTTTTGGGCCAAAAAGGTTCGGTTTTTTCGGTTTTGATGTTCAGAAAGGTTTGCGGATTTTACGTGTTTTTGCATTCGGTTTTCATAAAAACTCTGATGCGGTTTCCGGTTTTTCCTTTTTGACCCCTTTAAAGGTGAAAATGTAGCGGTTTTGTCAGGTTTGCATGCGGTTTTCGGTTTTGCTTCCTTTTTTCGTGGGTTTTTCGGTTCTGGAGGTTTTTTCCTCCGGTTTTTGCGGTTTCCCAGAGGCCCCAATGCCCCCCTCCTTACACGTTTAACAAACAAGGTTTCACATTCTGAGTAAAACTGAAAAAAAAAAATCAAGTACCCCCCCTGGATAGAACTCAGGAAAATTGAACTTATTGGAGATATATCTCATTTACGATGAGGAATAACTGTGCAGTTTCTTCGGAGAAAAATCGTCGCAAATTCAGTTAGATCGTTGTGAAAGTATTTCTGATCTTTCATACCCAAGAGGAATTGTTCCGAAGACATTCTATACCTCCAGAGAAGATGAAAAGGGGTACGAAAAAAAATGCTCAGGTGTCTTTTCTCTCAACACTCTAGATATTGTTCCATTAAGTCCCCTGGACAGTAAAAACAGGAGAACTGGCAGAAGTCGTTACCGGGAGCTTAAGTGCCCGAATTTTGCTGTCACGGAGTCAGTCAGAAAGTGAAATATCACCTTGTCCAAAAACTTAACCAACGAGATATGGATTTAATCGACCACAAGTGATGTCAGTTCGAAGCGATAAAAAGAAATCCTGAAGTGCTGTATTTCTTAAGGGATCTCACACAGCACAGTGAAACACCTGTTGAAATGATTCGCGTTGTGTTCCATGCGTCTGCCGAAAAACTCCAATAACTTGATTATTCGTGCTCCCTCCTTACTTTCTTTCAATGAATCTGATCTCCCTACACTCTCGTTTATCTCTGTTTCAAAGGAAGCAAGATTTTTTTACCCTTGAAGACCGGAGAGCGGATCCAGATTGCAGTATTGCGTTTCAGAACATTCAACCGAAATATCTACTTTGCTGGATATAGGGTCAACCTAAATAAGTGGTTTGTTTAATTATGTCTACTTCAAATAACGGTACGTCAGATTTCTTGGGATCGATTGCATGCACTTGTGCTTATTATAGAGTTTTGAAAAAGTCTTCTACTCTCTTTCATTTATCCATTCTAGGAAAGTAAAGATTAATTTTTTATTTGCCGCGCGTTGATTGTTCATAGGTAATAAGGCTTTTCAGAAAATCGCTCTGGAAAATGACTTCCATACTAAAAATACCCGAATTTGGTGTATTTCAAGTTCAAAATGATAATACTTCTACTTCGTAAAAATTGTTCATTTTAAGCGCAAATTGTAGGTACACCTTTAATCTTCAAAAAGCCGTGCGTCGTTTTACAAGCAAAAACTTCCAAACCTCAGAAAAATGAATTTTACGAAGCCCAGTTGGCCAATTTTGGCCCATTCTTCTCTAATTAAGGGCTCCTTAAAGCAAGGTCGCTTTCAAATTTGGTTATGAACAATTCATGATGTCCACCCGTTCTGCCCCATGTCGAAATCAAATACCACGGGCTTTTATCTAAAAACTAATCTTCTATTTCTAGTGTTTCTTTCCTTTAATAAACCCTTTATCTCAGGGGGTTGTTCTCTCTAAGAATAACACAAAGTGACACAGACAAGTGCATGATGCAAGGCATATTCTCCTGGCCCCTGCTGTTCGAAGGGTAAATCTCCATTCGATGGATAGTGAAACACGTGCTTACCGGCTGGATGGGGATTTAACTTTTAAATAGCGTTATCTGCCGTTTGAAGAACTTTCGAATAACTGGACCCTGGAGGTCATAATGTGACGATAGACTTTCGCGCCCAAACTGGGAAAACTGAACCTTCGCGGACGGCACAACAATAACTCGGGGAATATAACTCGGTAGAGACCACTCGGCAGCGAGAACAGAAACTCGTCACGATTTCTTGGTACACGGAGATCTACTTCGAGCGAGCTTATACGAACGTCAAGGTGAGACAGCGTTTGGTTCCACAGTAAACTTTAATCTAGGTCAGGCCAACAAGCGATATGACCTCCAGCGTACTCAAGTTTGGGATCATCAAAACTGTACAAGGTAGCTGCTAATCAACTAACTGGTGTGAAGCGCTATTGTCATCCAAATCGACCATATTTAAACAGCACAACAAAAGAAGCGGTAAAGATCTCTTTGAGTTAAACGAAAACTACTTAAATATTCCCACCTGTTTCTACGACGAAAGAATTTCAAATTAAAAGGACGGATGCAATAAACTCGAGGTCATTAAAAATAGGAAACTTACGTGAGAATTTACAGCTCTGGCATAGAAAATATATCTATCTTAATTGCAGTAGCGCAGCTAAGAAAATAAGAGTGGAAAAGTAATTAAAAGTTTCTGCTTATCTATGCAAGTTTGGTGTAGAAACTATCGTATGGAAGGAAATTAAAATTACGAGTTTAAACTCGGCTGCCAACTACCATGAGAACCAACCTTTTCCAGAAAGACGATTAACACTTATATTTACCTAAATTTCACTGGAATTGAACAAGAAAAGTACCGAGATGCAGCAGTACAATTTAAGCTGATTATTCAAAATTACTTGTGGCTTTTTTTATAGCCCTAAAACGAAAGAACTCGAATGACCTGAGAACGGCTAGAATACCAAAAATAGCGAATAGATATGCTTAAAAAACCACACGGAAAAATCACTAAATTCTCCTCTAATCAACATAAGCAAGGCAAAGAATTTCTTATCAGACCGTTATCTATGACTAGCCAATCTCGTTTACATTATTTTCCCTCTCTGACCTTCTTCAAACACTTCTAAAAAAAAAGAGTTAAACAAAGACGATTTTTTTTATTATTCTCAGTACATATTGGACTTTCTATAGCCATTAGTAACATCACTACATCCCACATTCTTCAAAGTTATGAAAGATTATAACCCACTAGGACTTACATTTCAAACTGATTAAACTTACGAACGTATTCTCACTTCCTAACGTGAGATCACAACGAGAAAGCACTCCACTTATTCAATACAGGGTTTGCCGGCAAATGCGCGGATGTCGACCGCTGCGTTCTAAGCGCCTAGGTGAGCAAACATCTGAAACGTATGCTTAGGGTCAAAATTCCAAAAGTTCCTTATATGGGTGTGCGTGTCGTTTATCTATTTTAAGTAATTAGATCTTGAGCCCTCGTGACAGTTTCGCAAAAACTTAACTTTTAATTTTCTGCTTGACCCTTGAAAGATTGCTAAGAATGCGGTTTACATGAGTAACAGTCAAACAAACTAAGCTTAGGAAAGACCTACTTTCCTGGCTGGTTTGTTTGAACAGACTGTGCATGCAGGTCCTTAAAAAGTCGAGGTAGGACAGTTGGTTAAATTCTTCTAAACTTTCAAATTTGAAACAAACAAGGAAACAAACAAACAAAAGTTATCGAGGCGGCGAATTGGAGACCAGAAAGCGAATCTGTGCTTCTTCCAGAGTCAGAAATTAGTTAAACGTTTTTCGTAAGAGGCATCATTTAAAAACAATTATCCAAGAAAGTTTCCATCCTTCATGGGCAGCGAATTTGGTAGCAGATTATAGAGTCATAAGAGCCATCCCACTTTGTGTCACCGCAATCAACGCTGTGGCGGCCTTGGGTGCATGTTAACCACCATGTGCAGTGCCGACCACGGATCTTCAAGTCATACAACCAGTTGTTAGGATGACAATCAATGGAAACAGGTTTTGAGCAAAGAGGTGGAGACCTCAAACCTACTGAAGCGAAGGAGGTACCTCTGACTGTTGAAAGTAAGTATACAGAACATCCTGAGACTGGTTTGCATATGAGGTGCATGCTTAACTTGACTACTTTTCTTTAATCTACTTGACAGCGCTCAGTTATGGAAGACGAAAGCTTCTCCTACATAAAAATGCATAAAACGTATTAAAGAAAAAGTTATCCGCACGATTTTACATTTTGTAAATGACAAATTTGATGATTATGTTACTTATTTCATTAAAATTTTATCTTGGGGGAAAAATTTTGGAAATAATAAGGCGTTGTGACAACATAGGTTTTTGTCTGATCTTTGTTTCTTTGTTTGTTTGTTTGTTTTTTTACATTGCTTTTCAAACGCAATGCTGATTTGCTTACCGGACGTTTCGTATCTCCACGGTCGTTTCGTACCCAGTCGTTTCGTGCGCAGCTAGGACCATTTGTACCCAGTCAGTTTGGTCATTTCGTACCCATACAAATAAAGTCTTTTTTCCATGTTATAAAGTATGTCTACAGTAAGGTCGGTTTCTTATGTTAAATAACAATATAGTCTGCGTTAAAAAAGTTTGATTATGTAGCGCCCATTTTTACTACGCGACTTCCAAATGTGACTCTTAGAACCAAAAATGTGGGTCTAGATTTGTTATTATTTTATTTTTGTGACCTTCTTAAAAAAAAGGTTACAAAACTAAACAACAGAACTTTACTTGTATCAATGCTCGCTTGTCTCTTTACTAACTTGTTGTTCAATTCATAGTCGTTATTTGTCACGAGACAAACGATGAATCCCCTAGTCATAATAATCGCGATAAACAAAACACAGATGTTTTGAAATAATAAAGTTACCTTTACGATTACTTCTTCCGTCACCATCAACTGCATCAGCGGAAACTAGCTCAACTTTTTTTACACGATAGATTGGGAAACCCGGATTACAGAACCTTTGGACTTGCTCTTTAACATGAGCCTTATCGACTTTGTCTGTCACGAACCAGTAGTCTCCTACTAAATCTTGATTTTCTCGAGAAGGACGAGCATCAAAAACCTAAGAATGTTTAGATACGACAGGGCAAAGAAGTGAATATTCGCCACATAATTATTAAAAAACGTTTAACTTAGCTTCTATGATCAGATGTTTGAAAACCCAAATACTGTAGATCTTTCTTTATGTGCTCGAAGTTGTGATGTTGCCAAGACTTATCATGATATACGGTATGCTTATTTTTATTGACTTACCTCACGTAATGCAGTCTGTAGGTCACTTCCTTTTGGCAATTTGTCCGGCAGTTGTCCAAGATAGCAAATACCGTCCCTGTCAACGCGCCGAAGGAACTCGTTCTAAAACGTATTATAAAATATACTTCGGTGAACTTATCTAGCAGTCAAAAAGTTGACAAAGATTTCAGGAAAACGAAAAATAAATTTACAAAGCGTTTTATAGTTCTTTCAAGACTGAGCCAACTTACAGTTTTGAAATCCACCAAATAGTCAGCGGTGGTAGTTCCTTGGTTATCAGCTGGAACATGGAAATACTCCAAATCTCTTCCCTCGTTTGTCTCTCTTTGCTTTGTTTCACTCCTCTCTGGGCGAGGATTATATTCCTTTGGAAAAATTCTGTCATCCATTGTTTTCCCGTTTGGAATCTGAAAAATTAGAAAGATTAACTTGCAGTTCCCCCAAAGCGTTTAGCACTCTCATTTCCAAAGAAGATTCGTAATAGCAAAAGCGACGGTTAACTCTAGTTCCTAGTTGGTCGCCATTTAAACGAGTCTTCTGCTAAGAATGGAGAGATTTTTGTCACATGACAGCAAAACATAAACCAAACTTATCATTCCGTTTTTTTTTCTGTGTAGAACACAGAATAAACGCTTACCACTGAAGCAATTGCTCGTGAGACGCAGAAAAATAGGAGACAGGCTACAAGAGTCGATGAAAGTTTCTAAAAGAAATTAATCAAGAAAAGAACAGATCAGTTGTATTAAATACTTCCACAGACTCGCCGGCGAAAGGCAAGAGATGTTCACAAGATAAATACACTTTTTAAAACTTTTAGCTTGCTATAAAATACATGCCTACCATGTTTGAAGTCAACCAAAGATTTATACTGTCTTCTGTAGTTTCGATCCCTGAACGTTTAATTTCGAGGGATAATTTCTCTCGTCATTTAAACACTAAAACAAGGAAGTGATCTAAGATAGGCAGAAGTCGTAAACAACCTCTGTATCTGAAGGTCCTTTGGGCTGAAGGGTGAGTCACGCTAACTATAAAGTTACACAACATGAGAAGAAATATTTGTTGAATTGTTCTGTGAGGGTGTATCAGTCAAAGGATAATTAAATTGAAGTTTAGAGCAGGTCGGTATTTATCAATGTTTTCTTGTAATAGACCCATGTGTCTTTGTAAGAGTCAGACACGTATCAAACTATTGTAAATTTCAACTGAGTTCAGATAAAGAGAAAAACCCTGGCATGGCCAGAAATCCGTGACAGTCAGCGGTTTGGAACGGAGGCTCATGTATGCGAAAAAACTTCCTTCTGATAGTCACGCAACAGCATGTTTTTTTCTTGTACAATTTCGTGCCATTCTTTTAAAAGAGGATAGGGAATTTCCAAGGTTAAAAGCACTCTTTTCTCTTTTTCCCTCGCTTCATATCTTAGTTCTGGTTGAGTGAATGTGATTGCGTCTTAGGTAAAACGCGAGCAACATTGACTAAATTCGTCAATCATTTTACTTGCAAATTTTCAGAGCGATTGTGTAACGCAATTGCATAATTTATTATAGGCAAGGTTACAAAGTTCAAAAAAATTATTTTGTGATTCAAGATGGAGGATAAATGAGCTAGAAACTACCGTTTACGGTCGACTAAAAACATGGCGTTTACTCGTAATTTTCCTCGAGCTTTAAAGCCCTAGTTCACGCAGATATGGGTCTAGTTATCTTTTTTAAAACTAAAATGCGTACCTAGTCACTTTGTGGGTCAAAGGTCACTTTCTTTATCGTCCATGTACGTGCTTGCTTCGTTTACAACCTTAAGTGACAATAATCAAATTCTTCCGTGATATCTGTTTTGGTTCGGATGAAATGGAGGCAAGTTATCTTTACAGAATTCAGGATGTTTTTGTTACTTTACAAAAGCTGGCTACCGGGAAAACTGAAATAAGAAACAATCTATGTCGCACTCGACCAATATGATTACTCCCCGAATTGTATTCCACTTAGACCTACAACCATTGCTTTTCATTGATTTCTTTAGATGATGATATACTTGAAAAAAAAACTACACGCGTCTGATTGGCTGGTTGGGTTGTAATAGCGAAAATAAGCGAAGATTTCTCGAAATTCAATGTAGGAAAGTAAGAAAAATTGTGGGAGTGACCGGGCTTTCCGTTATGTGATGGGGATCGGGGACAAAGGAAAGAAAAAGGTAGAACCGTTCGATTTATGCAAGAAAGCTACAGCAACGAAGTCGATCAAACTATCCTCTACTTCCAAAGACCGCATAAAGCTGTTTGGGGAAAAATTACAAATAAGTAAGAGGAAATTTTCCAATACAAGAAGTGGGTGGGCGTACAACTTTTCATGTGGCCTTTTGAATTACCTTACATCTTAAGGCTCAGTTCCCATGCTTCTTAAAGAATTCAGAAGGAAAACTTAAACACACAATGCAAAAAGCATTTTGAACAGGTAAATCTAGACCATTTGTAAATTTCATGGAGAACTTTTACCATCAGCGTCAACCGTTTAAAAAGATTTCAAGAAACAATAGTTGACCAATTTTCCTTCGAATAATAGCAGTTTAATAGTAGTGTTCTTAGCGCTACCTACTGCGAGGATCGTGCATCATACGTATCTAATACCGCAGTTCAAAATATATGAACTTCATATATTTCATTGTATCTTATTTATCACTTTCACGGGTTTATTACGAATCAACTTAACGGCCTGCTCCTAGTTGGCTTGTTAGCTCAATTGGTAGAGCGCTGCACTAGTATCGCAGAGGTCAGTGGTTCGAATCCCGTACAGGCCTGATTTTTTTCAGGTCTGATTTTCGCTATTGCTTAAATAGCGCTATCTACTGCGAGGATCGTGCATCATACGTAGTAGTGTTCTTATGATCTTCCTCACTGGCAGTTATTGCAAGTTAATTTTCTTCAGCTCCCCATTTCATATCCTGTTGGCGACGACTGATCTCCTCTCTGTTCCCCTTGAAAACAAAAACGGTGACCATCGATTGGACTCGAGATTTAAGAGATTTCATGCATTCTTTGGAATCCTTTCTGTCGCGGATCTCGCGCTTGACGAACATCCCGCGTGAGCGCAGCAAAACCTTGCGTGTTAAAGCCCACGAAGGTCAAAAAGGGAATGTTGGCCGTTCAAGCAACAAAAAATTGCTTAAATTAACAATTTGTCTTTTACATCACCCACGGGGTAGTTCTGACACCGAAAAATTAAGCAAAAATCATAATTAATCAACTGTATAACTCGACATCTGTTTACTGAGTCGTTTTGCCGGGCACATCAGCGCCTAGTCACTTGAAATACTTTAATTCGGAAATTTGGCTCTCGAATTGCTTTTTTCGAGAATGGCAAACAGGAGTTAGTTTAATTCTTGTTAAGAAGGCATTTTCGTCCCCACAATATATGCAACTTTCACTGAGGGACCAGTCATTGTATATCGCCTAGATCTGGATTGCGGTGGGGGGGAGGCGGATTTAGGAGGGGGATTACATGTTTTTCAGGGGATCAGAGGTCCGGAGGGGAAGACAGTCATCCCCAACAGAGTACAAAGGTGGGACTATAGAATATTGACAGCTGTCAATTGACTGCCACTGAGGGGGTGGAGAGATCATTATCAGTTGTAAAGCCTTATTGGGGGGATCAGATAATTTAAATCGTGACAAACCAAACTCCTCAGGCCCTCCCCTCCCAGGAATAAATAATGACCGGTCCCTAATAACGACTAAAAAGGTAGGGAAAAAAACCAACGATGCAAAAAATAACAAGGTAGGGCGGATGACCGTCACAAACCGGAAACCGCAGACTTCAAGTAATAATAGCTCACGCTTTAGACACGATAGAGAGACAGTTAAAAACTCATTGTTTTCAATGTTCAAAACAAAATTGGTCTAAATTGATTCCAGATACCGTTGATAAAAAGAAAAGTTTGACATAATAGTTATCCAAACTGAAAACATTACTCTCCAAGTCACGGATCATTTGTTTTGTTACGCTTTCCACCCAGTTTATTTATTTGTTTTGTTTCGATCTCTTTTCTTTTATCGAAGGCCTTACATAAAATATGTTTACTCTTTAAAAGAGAAGCTGGAACATTTTTGTGATACAGTTTACAATCTGATTGTCGATATAATTTTTTTTCTGAAAGCATTTATCGGCCGTATTGAGTAATATACCATAGTAATTAATGTTTCATGTATCAGTTATAAATATGAATTGATTGCAAATGTAATCAAAAGCTTGTATTGAAGATACTGGCAACAAAACCGCTATACTTCCTTTGTTTTCAAATCGAGGCTGACGCACTTATAAATAAAAAAGTGCAGCGCTGGTGGTCCCTTCCATAAAGGGGAAGGTTTTGATTATAACCATTATTTTCTCGGCATCACGAATACTTCGAAGATTTTCTCAGAGGTGGTCACGAAATATTGTTTTGCGTCAAAGTTTGTTCAGGTGACAATTTTACCAGTTGAACGTAGCCAATCAAAATGATTACGAACTGCATTGCGGCAAGAACACATGTATATCTCGCATTGAAGCTTTTAGAAATTATCAATGGCTTTGGGGAGAGACCGAGTACACTTGTACAGGGATAAAGGTGTTAAAGCAGAGCTTTTCTAAGCATTCGCAATCTCGTCCACCACTTGGCGATTAATACCTAAAGCAGTGGGTTCTCTTTCGCCTAGTAAGAGCACTTATCTTTCTAAAACAGACTACTTCCTGTCGAAAACTGAGTGAAGTATACCCACTTGTACAATAAAAACTTTTCGTTGATTTAACAGTACAAAGATTACAAGTGTGAAAGAGAGATACCAGCCGTACATATAAATGAAATTTACATGTTGGTCGCTTGCAGTAAGATGACTTGCATTTTAAGGTCAATTTTTTTAAACAGTATCAGATGTTTAGGCAAAATAAATTTATAAATCGTCATTTTGCAATCTATGAAACTCAAGAAAGAGACTCGTTTTAGCAGTGCAGGGGACTTCAAGAACACCTTGACGGCCTTTTGTGAAGTTCTCTTGCCTCTAAATTTAAGGAAAAAAATAAAACACGCGTACACACACACATGAACAACAATTCGTTCGTGAATAAATATGACAAATGATTTCCGTGGCTGTACAGTATCTTTTCATCCTCTCTCATTCTTGTATGTACTTGAACAGTCAAATCAAACTAATAAAATGTGAGGAAAGAATTGAAAGTACAAAACTCAGCCACGACTTCAAGAACTCCAACTAAACTCCAATTTCCCCGCTATCCGGCATGATAAATCAAAGCCTCAGCAAAAGAATTTTGAACCAACAGGTATCGGAAGAAACATAAGTGTCTTGTAGCCCTACGGAGATTAGACTGCAATAGGTGATCGTGTTGGAGTTGTAGTTCATTCGATTGAAGACAGTTTTACAAAGTATACAATCTCTTTGCACTAACTTAAAATAGACACTGATATCTGTCAGTGGCTACAGCTTAAAGAAACCCCTGTACAACGGTATATTAGCATTAAGCCTTGGAAAGGTTTCCATGAAAACGGAATTTTTTATTTAGAAAGCTTTTAGGCTCCATCCCTACTACTGAATCGGACGTTGGAAACATTTTTTGATGCATTTTGGCCTAGCAAACACACTAAAACGTCCGAAAACGCTGATGAAGGGGAGAATTTGGCAAGCTGTTTGAAATATGGAGTGTTTTGAAAACGCATCGTTTCAAAAACACTCCGTTTGCTTTGTGGCCGGGACACTGAGCTGAAAGCTTATGATTTTAAGAACATACAGTCGCTTTCACATGCTTTTTGCCGGCCTTTTGCGAAAATGTCATACAAAAATGCTTCAGCTTGTATCAATTTTCAAATCAAAACGCTAAACGGTCCAAAA